GGGGTTTTGTTTCCAATTAAGTTAGACATTCTTATGTTTCTTTTTTTTTGTTTTTTTTAGGTTGTTTGACTCTAAATGAACCTGAACTTATAGATAATTTTGGTTGCAATAGGTGGCCTTAATAAGGAGGGAATTTTCATAATGTATTTGTATTTTGTTTATTTTTTATTTTTTATTTAATTTAATAAAGTAAAATTAGATTTATGTAAATATAATTATAGTAAACTGTAATACAAATAGTAAATTCAGTGACCAAATCGTATAAATTTCGTGGTAAAATCAGTGATCAAATCATGTAAATTCCATATGAATTCCATGCAAATTCCGTATCCAAACCATATTTTTAGTGATACGGAATTGTGCATTTTTCCGTATCCTATTATGATACGTTATTTCTAAGGAAAAAAAATCGTATAAAAACTTTATAAAAAACGTATCCCAATTTTTTTATAGGGATAATTGATTTCAAACTTTTAGATCCCTAAATTATTAAATTAGTGGATTTCTTGAAGAAAATTTTACTGTTCTTGATATAATCTATGCAGTTTTGTGTATTTTTTGCACTTGTACAAGAAATCGTAAGAGTGTCGTAAAATTATAAAGAAACATCCCCAAACTATTAGATAAAGAAGAATTATTTAATATATAACATAGAATGTTCTTCATAAGAATCAAAAAAAAATTTTTTAATTAAAAAACGTTACATAAAGTGTAACTTACAAATTTTATCTAATGAAAAAAAAAAATAAAAAAAATGCAATTCCTTTTGGAAGTTCGACCTTGACCTGGAAATTATCATTGTTGATAATATAAAAAGTTTGGTTTTGGCATCACTCGGGCTAACATTCATTCTAATTCTTAAAAAATTTTCGATTATCTTCGATAAGACTATGGCTATGAAAGGTTATTTCTAGATCAGATGTGTACTATTGTATCAGTAGATATACTTGAAGTAAGAGAATGAAGGACCCCGAACAAAACTAACCGTGGAGATCTTTCCTTTTTAGATAATACCAGCCAGAGTTTGTGACGTTAAAATCATCTACTGGACTGATTTGGCCGTGCCGATCACTTGTGACTTAAAGATGCGATAAAGAATTTTTATCTTGCGCAATCAGACAAGTGTAATTGCTGTGTGACGTATAATATTCAAAATATTCAACATATGACACCTAGATGCGGTGTCAATGTGCTTGCATATGGCATCACCGGATTATGCACGGCATTGTCATATACAATAATTTGACTTTGAAACATTGAGGAGTATAGGCATATAAAGGAGATGATACGTAAAATACCATATTACATAATAAGAAAATAATGTAAATTTTAAATTTAACGATTATAAAAATGAAATTTTATTGTTTGTTACCGTTTATTATAATATACTTTGATATTGTCTTGTTAATTTTTATTTTGTTCGAAGAATAAAAAAAATAATAATAATAATAAACAACTTCTAATTGTTATTACTAACTTTCAGGTGACAATTGTTCTATGTTTGCTATCATGAAGATTAAAGATTTGATAAATGACGCGATGATATTATATGTTTAACATAACATTTAAAATTTTTTATATTTCTTTTCGATAATAAAATAAAATAATTGATTTATTACGATAAATTCCGGTGTTTATTCAAGTGATAAAAATAAATTTCTAAAAAAAAAAAAAAGAAAAATATGCACCATAATTAACTCATAGAAATATAATTAGAATGATCTTTCAGGCTTAAAATATAATAGTAATCATTTGCTGATTAATTTATAATGCCGCAGCAAACCATTGATCTGGTTTCATTTGTTTTACAAATTTGGATTGGATTTTTTTTTAGATCAAATATTACTGTGTAGTAAGCTAACACAACATATTATTGTGATACGGGCATAACCGTGTGACATCACTAAAAAAACAAATTCTAAGAATGGCTTAATAAAATACTTGAAACATTAGGGGATAACGCATAGGCATAGAGAAAAGGAGATAATAGAAGAATGTCTCATACATAATAATAAAACAATGATAATAATATTACAATGATGATAATATTAAACTTTTATCGCATAAAATTCGTTTGTTTTGATCCATTATAAATATACTGAGATTTCGCCTTGTAAAATTTCCTCATCAAATAATAAAAAAGAAAAATCCAAAGAACAAAAAAAAATATCAAACAAAAAAAAATTCACAAAAAATTTTTTTCAAATAAAAAACAAATCTAATCACAATGAATCCAACAACTATCGTCATTTCTAAACCAGTTGTCATTATTACTTCCGAAGTAACTGAAAAACCTGGCAATCCTACAAACTCATGTTCTATAATGTAAATACTACTATTACCAAATCCAGGGGAATGGCTTAAAGAAGCGAAATGACCGATCTTTCGATAAAATCAATCTATCTTTTCAATTAGCCTGGTGCTAATATTACGAAGATTTAAATCCTCTTAATAACGGGACTACCGGTTTACATTTTTTTTTATAATTTATTAGTATTAAAAATATTACTTTGTAAATAAGAAACTCTTTAATTTAGTCATTTTTAAATTTGTATATTTGTATATTTATTTTTGCATTACGATTGAATAAAAATGAAAATTTTTTAATTTTATATAACTGATAATGAAGTATTTTAAATGGCTATTAAACTTATTAATTATCTGCATTAAACTAATGTTAAATACCCACTGCTGCATTTCAATTATCACAAAGGAATTTTTCATCATTTTATCATTATATGATAGTAAAGTACATGATGAAAAATGGCTCTTTTAAATTGATGATCAGACCAACTGATTTAATGATTTTAAAGGTCATTTTGCAAATTTAACAGATTGCAGTCAACTCTGGATATAACGAATTCTCTGTTCCAGGAGGTTTAGTTCGGTATATAGTGAATTCGTTATTTAATATAGCGAACTAGTTTTCTTTATAGGTAGTTTAGGCCAAATTTGTAATGCTGGCCAGAATTATAATTTCTTTTAACAATAAATATGAGTTTATTTGAAAATTATTACAATGGTCGAAATACTCATGAAAGATCATCCAAAATCAACGTGTAACCCGGAAATTAGATCCGGCTACCATTTTTTGGAGGTGGCGTTAGGGTGATTGAAGTAATTACGTAATTATGCAAATATCAGAAGAATTAGCCTCGGATCATTATCATATGTATGATGAAGTTTATCAAAAGTATCATTTTTATACTATATATATCCGATCCAATTCTTTTTTCTTCTCTACTTTTCTTCTTTATTTTTACACACAAAAATGTCTCGTATAATCTGGTTTAAGTATGGCAACACCCAAGCGACTAGTCTTAAGTTCCAAAGAGATATTGTTGATAACTTAAAAAAAGATATTAAGAAGGAGTTGGATTTGAGCATATCTCCTGACCATATTTTTCTAAAAAAACATAATATATACTGAGCCTATCTTGGAACCGGATGCTATTATAGATTATAGCTTCGGAAGCACCGCAAAAACGCCTCCTCTAGTTTCTGTACAACCCGGTAAGTAATAGTTTTCGACATACTCGTTGTTACAACAACTAATTTTTCCTTTTTGTCTCTTAAGTCTTAACCCAATTTAGATGAACATCAAGGTAAGCCTTTGCGTCATAGAGACTGGTGTTTTTGTGATTATGAAGACCACAGGTCAAAGAAAAACCCATCTAGTCCAGCGTCTCAACTGTGGCAACGATTTGAACATTTCGTTGCATCCTTCCGCTCGTTAAAATCCAGAAGCGTAAACGATAAGGAAATGATAACCATGTCTACCATTCATGCCAGTGCGGATTTGAATGGTGGTAAGCTTCGATTATGAATCATATCTAGACTTGGAATACGCAAATCACCATGAAGATACGAATTCGGAACATTATATTGGAGGAAATAGATATATTCAATGTGTAAATGATCGTACTGTTGATGTTCGTGAAGAAGATATTGCATAATAAACGGAAACACGGGGATGCATTTCTCGGATTGGATATGAACTCGCATGACAATCCAAATGAAGTGCATCAACCACTCTCAATAAGTCTGATTTCATAAGAGAACGCGGGAAATCATTATTATCAAGAGATTTTTTTGTTTTTACTACGACAAAGGTGAATAATCTCAAGTTTCCAAAAAACTCTGGTTTAGTAGATTCATCCAATTGGCTTAAATTCTTTGGGCCATACGCAGGTAGGGCATTCGCCTACGCCGATGTAGGCCCTTTGAATATCAACACTGCAGATAAAAGAGACCTAGCGATCGGCATAAACGAGCAGATACTATCGAAAGTAAGAGAAAGTTCAAAGACCTTGATGATGCACACGCTAAGACAGGGATACCAATGTCTGTGTTAAAAAGATTCAAATGTGAATAATATGTTTGATATTGATTTCATATGTGATGATAGATTATGTGATTAGGAAAGAATTCGTGCTAAAATTATATATTAGTTTAGCTTTTTATGAGATTATTATAACATTAGCACTAATTTAATTATTTACTTTATGATAATTAATAAACGCATTAGAAAATGAAAATTTTTATTGTATAAAAATTTTTTCTCGGCAAAATTGATAAAAAAATTCATCCGCATAACTGATCTGTGATGCTCAATAGTTACTGCGCCACCGTCACATGATTTTCGCTGACAGAATTTGAAATGACAATCAGTATCAAGAACCAATTCAGGCTCTGGAATTAATTCAGAAGAACTGAAACTGCGTTAAGAATTCTACGAGCAGTTTCTTCATCCAAATCACCCAATATGTCACGTTCTACAACATCCGCTATAACACCTGCCGTGTCAAGACCTGTGACGCCTTCATTTAATCAAAGTGCTGAGAGCCTGAGACCATAGATTACACTAGGATGATCAAGATTAGTTATAATTTATGAGTTTATTTTTTGTCATTTGCAAAGCGTCTTTTTATAATAACAACTCTTACCCAATAAAATAATAGCGAATTTAAATTAAAATTGATTTAAAAATATGTGTGAATATGGTCATTACAACAACATATAATTATTATAATTATTTGATATTCCATTTTTTTTCTTCCAACATGAAAATTTTATTTTAATTTTGTTGCAGATGATTAAAAAAAAAAATCTCAATAAAATAACTCTAAAAATCCGCTTCATCATTCAATGTCGAAAGACTGTCGAAAGGCGTTCTTCCCACCGTGCTAGTCAGGAGACTTAGACCTCCTTGAAAAATAACTTCTTTTTTTAAAATATATCCTATTCAGAATATGCTAAGATTTTAAGATCATTAATTTTTGAGAGAATTCAGATAACTTAAAAATTATTATTTTTGGTAACTAAGTACAATAGTAATAAAGGTCACGCAAAATTTTTTTAAAAATACTTTTTAATTAGAATTTTTTTTTTTTTTTTAGAACATTAAAGTGTCTAACACAACATATACATTAAGTAATATCTAAGGTATTAAAATATTAGATGCAGCGTACCTGCAGAAGTATTGGCGTATTTTGTGTGATACGGATGTACGCCATTATTTAATAGTGCATGTTATTGATGTTATTGTTATATACAATACAATAGCAGAATAAACTTTTAAAATGATTATTATACTTATTATACTTGAAACATTAGGGATAAAAGGGAGATAATGCATAGAATAGGAGATAATAGAAGGATATCCCCATGCATAATAAGAAAACAATGATAATAATATTAAAACTTTGGCGCATAAAATTCGTTTGTTTGATTTATTATAAATATACCGAGATTTCGCCTTATAAAATTTCCTCATCAAAAAAAAAAAACTCAAAGAATAAAAAAAACTAATCAAACAAATAAAACAAATTAATTCTCAAAAATCTTCAAAAATCCTTCTCAAANTCGTTTGTTTGATTTATTATAAATATACCGAGGTTTCTCCTTGTTAAATTTCCTCATCAAAAAAAACTCAGAATAAAAAATTAATCAAACAAATCAAACAAATTAATTCTCAAAAATCTTCAAAAATCCTTCTCAAATAAAAAAAAAAATCTAATCACAATGAATCCAACAATTATCACCTCTAAACCAGTTATCATTGTTACCTCCGAATTAACAGAAAAACCTGGAAATCCTACAAACTCATGTTCTATAATGTGAATACTACTATTACTACCTGCTATAAATCCAAAGAAAAATGAAGGATGACTTTGAGAAATAACCGATCGTCCGCCTATCTTTACAATTAGCCTGGTGCTATTATGAAGATTTTTTTAACGAACGGTGGGGACTCTATTTATATGAAAAAAAAAATCGATTACGTTTATTCTTATAGTTTATTAAAAATCAATTTGTAAATATTCTTTGTAATTTAAAATTTTAGTATTGTATATATTTATTTTTACTCTTCGATTAAACAAAATAAAATGAAAATTATCTAATTCTATATAACAAAAATTAAAACTTATTACTACAATAAATTATTCATGATATCTTATACTATAAAATTCTCGCTGCTGCAATTAGATCGCTATAAAGATGAGAGATCACTTATTCACATTTTTAAATGAATAAATTAATAAAATATATTCTACTAACGCTTATTATTTATTTCCATTTTTTTAAGAAAGAAAATATATTTTCAACGGTCATTTTATTTATTGTGTTTTTTTTGGATTAGGCTATTAGGGCGGGTTAATCAAAATTTACTATCATTAGTACTTGTTACGCTCACGCACTATACCCTTCCGGTAGTCCTAACGACAGAGCTTAATTGGACAGGAGACGATGTTTTATTCTCTTATCAATTAAATAATTAGTAATTATTTCATTTTCATGATATTTTCGTTGCGAATGATCAAAAAAATAATTCATTCAAATGTTAATAAAACAACCGACTCTTGAAGGCTGCAACAATCAACAAACGAATGATCCGCGAAAGCTTCTTAAGAAATTTTTGTTTTAATGATAAAAATAAAAATGGAGTTACGTTATTATTATTGTTTTTCTTTAGAACAAATATAACTGTGTGGTATATACTATATAATACGAGATAACATGTTTGACGGATGCAATGTCAACATATTATATAAACGAGATAAATACATTACATGGGAAATAATAGAGAAATATCCCAATGAAAACAATGTAAATTTTAAATTTAACGGTAATAATATGAAATTTTTTAACACAATAAACTTTGTTTGATGCCATTTATTATGAATATATCTCGATTTTGCTTCTTATCAAGTAATAAAAAAAATTAATAACAAATCAAAAATTAAACAAATCAAACATATCAATTCTCAAAAATCTTTCACCTCTCGATCCTACAATTCAATGTTTCATAATGTAAACACTAACCGCTGAATCCAAAAAAACGAAGACTCACGTTTTAAGAAAAAATGACCCTTCGATGGAATTAGCCTATCTTTTAATTAGCTGGTGAAGAAATTTTACAAGGTGAATCAGCGTATATTATTTTATAATAATGAATTTTAGACGTTTAAAGTTAAAGATAGATCGTTACTTTACTTTATTTATTTTTCATCATTATCCCTTTTTGCATAGCATTATTCGTTTTTTAATATTCTCGAGTAGTCAATACGTCCCAATACGTCCCAGCACGTGACCGTGATAAAAAACAACGCAGTGCGCTAATATGTGATAAATAGGAGTTTGACAAAAAAACCCCAAAATCCCAGATACTGATGGATTACGGAAACAAGTGACAGTGATGACAAATAAAATCTATTATTAGAGGCGGGAGCGGGATGACTGATTAATATTCTCCCGTAGTACAACAATTAATTATATACAGTATTTTTTTGGTAAAGTCAATGGTGATTAAAATAGGTTTTAAGGGGTTGATCACATGGCTAGTTGCAGCCATTTTTAAAATAAACAATCATTTTTTTTTTTTTTTTAATAATGAAAGATAGAGCTTTTGAAAAATAAAGCGCAGCAGAAAGATATTTATAGGATAATTAGATAATTTATAATTATGAATTACGTAAAATCAAAAAATTTTCATTTTATTATTTTAATAAAGAGTAATAAAATATATACAAATATAAAAAATTCAATATTACAAACAAGATTTAAATTACAAAGATACTTTTTTTACAATTCATGTTATTATAAAGAAATTTAATAAAAGTAATAGCACCAGGCCATTTTGTAACAAATAGTAGTTACATCATTAGGTATATTTTTCGGTTAAAATTGAACTCCGTAGGTTTTGCCGAAGTCGTTTGTACCGTCGGTCCTCAGAGAAGAATTTTTCGTTTACATTATAGAACATGAGTTTGTAGGATTACCAGGTTTTTCTGTTAATTCGGAAGCAACAATAACAATTGGTTTAGAGGTAATAATTGTTGGATTCATTTTGATTAAATTTGTTTGAGGAAAGAGTTTTAAGAATTTGATTAATTTTATTAGTTGATTTTATTTTTGTTCTTTGAACTTTTTTTTTTTTGATGAGATTTTACGAGGCGAAACCAAATTGTATTTATAATAAATCGAACAAACAAAATTTAGGCGTTTAAAATAACTATTATCATCGTAGAAAATTAGAATTTTACATATTTCTTATTATGTAATTTACTTTTTATTATTATTTTCTTCCCTATGTATCGTATTGTTTCGTTTCGATGATATTCTCCTTAATGTTTCGAAATTTTAAGCATAAATCAAACCATAACAGGTATAACCTTTTTTAGAAAATATTTGAAAGATTGGTAAAATCTATGAATACTTATTTAGTAGTAAATATTTAATGCGTTACATCACACAAGTGAATCGGCCGCACAAATTAATATTCTTGGTTAGAATAATATTTTGCATTTTTTATTTGTAATTTTGTATACGTTCGTGCATAATTTGAAACTTTGATTGTCACGATACATCTATGTGATAACGATAATATTTTATTTATATTATATTTTAAACTAAACCTTTCAAGAAGTAATTTATAATATTATATTCAATATAT